ACGGTGTAGGCCCGTCATGGCCTGCACCGTGCGCTTATCTCCCTCTCCTTCCTGGGCAAAGGCGCACGGCCGGCATCAAGCGCACGTTTTTACCACGTGCCTGATGCCTGCCCTTTATTTTTCAGCTACGCACGAGAGTGGAAGGAGAAGCCGTGGACGCGACTACGCGCTCGAGTATTGAGAGTGCGAGAGAGAGAGAGAGAGAGAGAAGCAATAGTTTGAGTATTGGGCTTGGCGCGCGGCACTTGTCGCGACGGGCAGTGCCGCGTGCCGCCGATTAGGCAAGTGGTGGGAGAAGGCGTGAGAAGCCGACTCGCACGCACTCGTCACTAGATTGCCAGAGAAGGAGGAGATCGGCCGCACTGGAAGGACGACCATTGTTTCCCTGCCTCAGACCAGAGAGGAAGTGCGAGAGCCGTGACGACAAAGAAGACTGGGCCACGTTTTGCGCTAGTCGCCTCACCTACAGCCCACCTGCCAAGCAGCAAACAGAATTTGGTCAGGTTTAGTTTTCCTCTCCTCTCGTTTCTCTCTCTAATTTTCCTCGGCGATTCTCACGGTTCGCGTTGCTACGCCAGGCTTTTCCGAGCCGGCGTAGTTTTCGGCAGTGCGCAATTTAAGTGATTGTTTGAGCCGGTTAACGAGGTGACATGGCGCTAACGTGCCGGTCATCTCGTTTAGGCTAAGTTTCGCGTGTTATTAGTAATAAGTGATTTGTGTTCTCGTCGGCACTCGTGGTAGTGCGTTTATAATAAACGTGTGTTAACGAATTGTGTGTGAAGTCATTTTGCCCGCTGTTCTCCTTCCTGCTTTGCTTGGAGCGATACACCGCCTCCCTTGCCTTCCCCCTTTCAAATAATTGGTAATAGTAGTGAAGATATCGGCATTGCACGCCGACGCTATTACAAGCTAATAGGAAACGAAATGACGTAAACGGCGAATAAAATTAACAAAGTTTAATTAACAAAAACTACAGTCTTTTATGAGCCGAAAGACTAACGCACGCGATAGGATTCACAATATAATTCGGTGAGAGAGAGAGAGAGAGAGAGAGAGAGAGACAGACAGACAGACAGACAGAGAGAGAGACAGAGAGAGAGAATTCGAAAATTGCCGCGAAATCTAACGCTCGGCGCGAATACAAAAATTTACGCTCGCGATTGACAAAATACTTTCGAAAGGGAAGTGCACCTACCCTGCGGTGCAATTATGGTGATCAGCCGTAACTGATGTTGAAGAAAATCAACGGTCGATGCTCCTCCAATATCAGCTGCGCTGCCTCAATGAAAAATCTGCTATTGCTTGCTGCTGCTACAATGCTGCTGCTGTTTCGGATGCTCCTATTCAGATGTTTCCTCACTACACTCACTCACGTATCGAAATCCCAGAAACTTTATAATTAATGACGGCGAAACACATTGCAAACTAAATCCGGCGGTACGTTCTCAAAAGCAGCTGAGGCTTAACTGAATATTCAAAACCTCGCGCGCCCTCTCTCTCTCTCTTTTAGTCGTTCGAACTAACTAATCTTGAACTGCTTCCTGAATACCAAGCTAACTCATTACTTGAATCACTTTTCGATTTTGCTGAATTTAATGTAGCTCTTACAAATTTCTTTTCTTTGTTAGAAGCAAAAGTACCAAATCCTCTTGCGGTGTTGAAAAACTTGATTATGATGCAATTCAGCACTATCCACTCAAATATAAACTCATTTTGGATGATATCTTTAATGAAATGTACCAAACTAGCTTTTTCTCTGCCAAGTGGAACGAATCGTATATTAATTTCATAGACAAACCTAATGGCAAAGGTGTACAACCTATTGCTCTCAGTTCCTGTTTATATAAAATTTTCAAATCAATGTCAAAAAGTAGGCTCCAATGGTGAGTTGAAAACGAAAAATTCTTTCTTACTATCAATCCCCCATTGACAACTTAGCTGGCTTGACACTTGAAGTAGAGAAGGCTTTCTCTGAGCGAAGGAATGTACTTGTTGCGTTTCTGAATATTGAAGGTGCCTTTAACAATGTTAACATCGAAATTCTTATTAAAAATTTAGACGATGCAGGTCGTCTACTTATATTTATAAAGTTTATTCAACACCTGACTTCAAAAAGAATTATCCATACTGAGACACTAGATGAGAATCTCAGAACCGTCAACAGAGGCGTCCCTCAAGCTGAAGTGCTACGCCTCTTACTGTTTTGCATTTACATAGCCCATATTTGTAATCGAATACCCAAATCTGTAACAGTAGTAAAATTTGATGATGATATTGCGCTATAATGTAAAATTTCTTCTCTTAAAAGACTTCTCGAAAAAGCTATCGACATTATACACGACAATATTGAAGTATTGGGACAAGATGTTACTTCACTCACATTTTAATCAGTCAGGTACTAAGCCTGGAATTCTCTTATTATAGTCTAAAAAAATACAATTTTATCTAGTGAATTTGCTCGATTTCTAGGTATTAAGTTTGATTATTGCCTCACTTTGAAAGATCACATTAACGCTATAGTTCAAAAAACCCTCAAAGCTAATAATATTATAAAATTTCTTAGAGGTATGTCTTGGAGATCTAGTTCAGAAACTTCACTGATATTGTACAAAAGTTATGTTCGCTCTATAATTGACTATGGCTGTTTCGTCTATTATTCAAGTACACTTGCGCAATCAGAACAACTTGAGGAGATACACATCAGGTACGCATTGGGGTACATTAATAGCACTTCTATCTATATATTACTGTTCGAGGCTAAGCTGTCTTTTAAAGAAGAACGAACTATTTTCTTATGTAACAACTATATTAACAAAATCATGCGTAACTCCAGCTTATTATCTTATAACATTCACCCCATTTTTTATAAAACTCATTACAGACAAAGCAAACTTATTAATAATCGACGTTTAATTGTTAAATGTATCAAAAACTTTAATTTTAATCATCATAGTAGTATTTATACCAACAGTTTCAATATCTATCATTACAGTTACGAAATTTTTTTTACTATTATTGGCATCGATATTAACTTTGGTAATTCATTTAAGAAAGCTGTAGGTCCCAATGTTCTTATTAACCGTCGCTTAAGTTTTGACAGAGCTTATGTTATCTTCACAGATAATAGCACGACTGACAGTGATTTTTATTTTTGATATTAAAAAAAAATATACTGAATATCAGAAAAAAATTCTAAGAATTGCAAACTGCAACTCATATGGGTACCAGCTTACTTTACTGTGAATATTGCGACATTTTTAAATTCTCAATTCCCAAATCGTTAGATAGATTACAATGGTCCTTCTCTAATTATCCAGAACTCCTAATCTCAATCCATTTGACATTTATTTCTGGTGATGTTGAAAAAATGCAGTTTATAAAGATACCTCTACTACTATAGATATAATAGATATAATATAATATAATATAATAGGTATAATACAAAGAATTAGAAGAGCTTGTGCAGTAGTGACTCCACAAGTACTCATGGATAATATAAATAACTTTCGTCGCAGATTGTAAACATACATAGCAAGCAATGGAAAACCTGTTTAGCATCTATAACTTTTCAAATTATTGATTATTTGTTTACTGTTATACACATACAAATTATAATGAAGTTATTAATGTACATACATATTTATTCATTACTTTCTTTACGATCAATTCGTTGTTATTAGTAATGACTATACATTTTTTTATAAAACTCTGCTTATTAGACTGTAATAAAATTTAGTCTGTTCTGAATAAAAATTTTCTTTATTTTTTCTATCAAAATGTGAAACCATTTTAACTCAAAGAATCCGAGATTTTTTGGGCAATTTAAATGATCTTAGAAATCTGAATTTCTTTTAAACATAAAATTTGAAAAAAAAGTAATCCTCCTGGATATTTGAAGCTGTTCTTGAGCTCGTAGTTATCAAATTTGAATTCGTATAAAGAAAACTGTTCTTAACATAATCTTGGAATGACCTTGAACATAAAAACCTTAAAGATGGAAGGCGAAGAATATGGCCGCATAAAAGTTGAGCAAGGCTTGCCTAAAGATTTTTCCTAAAATCGTATCCTTGCTTCGTCATGTAGTTGGGAAGATTAAGAAAATAAATCTGACTTCTACATGACCTTGGGGTGTCAGACAGACCTCACATCCGTTATCTCATCTAAACGTAGAATTTTCTACTTTTTTCAAATCCGAACATCCATAATGAATAGGGGCTACTGTTTAAAAAATAAAGATGACTTTGAAATAACCTTGAAAATGACCTTCAAGGTTAACGGCAAGGTCACTGCAATATGTCTCACTCAAAGTCAAATAACTTTTGTCTTAAATATTTTTCGCTGGTACTAACCATTTTCGAAAAATACGAGTGCCTCAGATACGTAAATTAAAAATGGAACACCTTGTATATATATAGGACTTGAGATGTGTAACTCTATATTTAATGGAAATTTTTAAATTAAAAAAATCTTTTAATATTGCAACTATTGATTTACGAAATTATATCGCAGATATTTTAATAATAACTGCAAAATAAAATCATGTTTTGTAAAATAAGTTTATGAAGTGTTTGAAAAATATATGAGTGGTATAAAGCAATTTAAGTTATCGTATGGAAACAAACCATATTGCCTTGTGTTATGTACTAATTTTTATACTTGCGTATAATTTTATACATAATATCAATAAACGATGCCAATAGTAAAAATTTAATACGTTTTTATAATTTGTATCATAATCAACAGAAACGAATTATCTATCTGATTTGTTTAATTTATAGGCAACGCTCTAGTCACAGTCTTTGAAAAAAAATAAGGAAATTAAAAAATAAATCTGTTATATGTAGAAACATTAATTTATTATACTTACGATTAATTGAATAATACAGTGATCTTTTGTGATAAGAAATTAACGTTAATAAAGAGATATGATTTGTATTAATAATCAACAATAATGATATTTAGAAATATTAATGAAAAAATGATTTATGTTGTATATTAAGGTAATCAACTGCTACTACGAAACCTGGATCTTTGGGCCTCTTATGTGCGAAATCTATGCTCTATGTGGATCTATATTTGGATGTACATCTATTTGGTCTATGTGCATGATAGCTTTCGACCGCTACAACGTTATCGTTAAAGGTTTATCTGCTAAACCCATGACAATAAATGGTTCACTTCTTAGGATACTAGGTATATGGCTTATGGCATCAATTTGGACATTTGCACCAATGATAGGCTGGAATCGGTAATAATAAAACTCAATTTTTGTAACAAATAATAATCATTGATATTTAAAATTTATATAATTTCTGACTTGCAGATATGTTCCCGAAGGTAATCTTACAGCATGCGGTACCGACTATTTCACTAAAGATTGGCTATCAAGATCTTATATAATTGTCTATAGTTTTTTCGTCTATTTCTTGCCTCTGATACTGATTTGCTATAGTTATTATTTTATAATCAAAGCTGTATCTGAACATGAAAGAAATATGAGAGAACAGGCAAAGAAAATGAATGTAGCCTCTCTCAGACAAAATGATGCACAGAGCACTGAAAACAAATTAGCGAAGGTGAAAACAGTGTTATAAATTTTATCTTTTATAATATTTCTATATTACGATTGATGCAAATTTTAGGTAGCTCTGATGACTATATCTCTGTGGTTTATGGCATGGACTCCATATTTAGTAATCAATTATGCTGGTATTTTTGAAATAGCTAAACTGACGCCTCTTTTCACCATTTGGGGATCAGTATTTGCTAAAGCAAATGCTGTTTATAATCCTATAGTTTATGGCATCAGGTAAAATAAATAAGATCGTATTTTCTATAGCTTATAATCAATTAATTTAGATATATTCGATGAGAAATTTCATTCATTGTGATTACATGATTACATTTTCAGCCATCCTAAATACAGAGCAGCATTATTTCAGAGATTTCCTTCTTTGTCTTGTGCCGGAGAACAAGCGTCAGCTTCCGATGCAGTTTCTACGACATCAGGTGTTACAACACTCACTGATCATGACAAGTCAAACGTATAAATTAGCAATTCAATTCGAATATTCTAAATTTTATGAATTAAATTGAAATATTAGCTTGGAAACTCAAAACAATTAATAAAAATATTACGGCAGTATGATGCTAATGCTTATAAGGTGATCATAAACAGCAGCTTCATTGAGCTAGGTGCAGAATATTTTTAAGTTTTAGTTTAAATTATGGTAAATTATCAAGGAAATCACTTTAAATAATTATATCCTTTTTCAAAACTGACTATTTTCAAATATCAGATAGTTAATTGTACGTATTTTTGAAATGTAAAATTTACTATATTATATTATAGTAATTTTATTAAGAAATATGTCACTTCTGAATTCGTAACCTGCAAAAAATTTAATTTGTCTTCATATACAAGTAAAGTATAAATTAAATCAATCTTTTTGTGGCAAAATCTTGCCACATATTTGATACATATAAAAAAAAGTATCAGTTAAAAAATATTAGGAAAATTTAAGTTAGTTTTAAAATGATACGACTATTAAGTTAATTTTTTATTTCATGATATATAATGAAATCATCATCATATAAATATGTTGTCTTTCGTGTATCACCACGACACGGAACATTTGAGAATATATAGTCGGAAATGTAAATTAACATTTATAATATGACAGAATATCTTAAGGTGGTTCAATATTTTAACAAATATTAATATAAGTCAACATATACTTTTAGGTATATGTAGAAAACATATCATTTATTAATAATATATGTACTTTACATTTTGACTTTATTTAGTAAAATAAAGCTTATAAACATTTGAAACTCTGGACAAAAATTATAAATTTTTTCGTAATATTCTTCAGAATCTTGATCCTTTGATAATATTATAATCATCATGCTTGAGTATTAAATATCATAACTTAAAAACCAACAAGTATTAACACTACTTACAAGGATTACTTCTAAACCTCTGATCAAACTTTGCACACACCATTTTTAGTTAAATATATTAGTCACGGATCTCTTAGTTACTCTAAATAAAACTTTCTTCAGCTTATATATATATATATATATATATATATATATTGGAACGGTAGTCGATTCGATCAATTGATACGTTTGCGATTCTGTAGCACTCGCGATGCTAGAGTGAACGTCTAAGAGAGAGGGGGGGCACGCGAGAGTTCAATTTTTCAAATGGAAGAATTTGTTGGCCAACAATAATTTTGTTGAATAATTACAGTTGATCACTGTAATTGCACCGCAGAGTAGGTGCACCTCCCTTTTTCTGCGCGACAAAATACTTCTGAAAATATTTTGTCAATAGCGACCATTCGTGCATTCGCGCCGAGCGTTAGTTTTCGCGGTAGAATTTTGAATTCTCTCTCTCTCTCTCTCTCTCTCTCTCTCTCTCTCTCTCTCTTTCTCTCCTCGTATTATTGTAATAAATTGTAAATCCTATACGCGTGCGCAAGTCTTTCGGCCCAGCGAAGACTGTAGTTTTTTAGTTATATGATAAATTTAGTTTATGATAAATTTAGTTTATGATAAATTTAATATTTTTGGAAATAATTTTTTATAGAGTATAGATCTTAAAATAATAACCGACGTCCCTTTACCGTTATCAGCAAACATCGAAGATATTAATTTTATGCCAATCTCACGATAACTCAACATTTTATTCAAAACTTGCAATACGAATTTCATATTTTCGTTTCTACATAACTGAAGTAAGAATGGAAAAAATGTACGGGAGCTGTAGCCATGAAAAAAATTTTCATAACGTTGAAAAATATCAATAAAATACGTTGCTTACATTTCATAATAGAAATGACTCCAATTCTTTAACAATGAGGGTTTCTCCACGATGATAAATTAAAAAATAAAACATTGTTCCAATACAATTATTTACAATTTATTTATCAAAAATATGTTTGAAGAACGGCTTGAGTGGCCAATGCCATTATTGAATTAAAATCACTATATCTCACGTTCTATTCGGTATTTTTCAAATCTATTGCTGTTTCTAAAATATTAAAGTATAAATAAACTTTCATGGTTACTTAAACAACTATAACTTAAATTGTAGATAACTAGCTAGCCGTCCGTTTTTTGCCAAGCTTATCTCAACATTTGTGCTCAGCAGGTTGAAATACATAAAAATACACTTGCGTTGTATTTTGTAGCTCTATCTGTCACTCTAATGAACGAAGTCCATACTGAACACTACACTACTCTTTTTGCAAATAAAAATATGACTTTTCCATAACATTTTTAGTTAAAAAAACAAGAAATACATTTTTTTCCAATTTTAGACAATTTTCACATATTCTGGATTCAAGAATCGTTGAATCGCTAATAGAGGTGAAAGCAATGATCGTAATTGTCACTATTTTTAATGTTTTTTATGACAACTGTGAATGGATAATTATTATTATTTCGTCAATTATATTGGGTGTCCCACTTTCACTTGGACAGTAGAATAACTGAAAACTTTACAAAATATTCGAAAATGTTTCGAATAAAAGTTGTATGGTTCAAAGGGGTCAACTCAGGATGACCTCAAACTTGACCTTGAACTTTATTTTTAAGGTCATTTCAAGATCAATTGTTTTTTTAAATAGAAACCCAACCCTTATTTTTAACCCAGGATTTGGATAGAGCGGAAAACTCTATCTTCATATGACGTATTATGCGTAAAGTCTGGGAGACCCCTCAAGGTCATTTCAAAGTCAACTTTGTTTTTTGAACTTCCATACTGTGATAAAAGTTATTTCTTCTGCGTCGCCCAAGCGTCTGTTGATCTGTTTGTTGGTTCGCTTTGACCTAAGCAACCAAGAGGCCTGACTTACAATTGGCTGTTTACCTCAGCAACGAGTAACTCACATAGCGTAAATCCCTAGCCTTGGCTACTCAAGTTCAGCGCTTAAGCCTTCCCATCAGCTACAAGGTTTTACAGTCCCTAGGGAAGGTTATGTTGTGTGTATCGATGTATGATTCATCTAATTAAGGCAAGATCGTGTAGAGATCCAGCCAGTCAAGCAAGATCATGTAGAGTTCCATCCAGGCAAGACAATATCTTGTAGAGATACATAAATTTAACTATGATTTAAATTTTTTTTAACGTCACTCTATTTATGCTCCATCACTGCTAATGAGCGATGGAGGCTTTCAATCTGTTTGAGAACAAAGCACATGAAACATTTTCAGTGTGCTTGTATCAATTAGCAGGGACTGGAATTGAACCCGGGTGCGAGTCCGTTACCCTACCGACCGAGCCATTGCAGGTCTTATTATTATAAATTAAATGTTCAAAGTGTCCATTATTATTCTTCAAACACAACTGTAATCGCCGGCAAAAGTTTTACTTCACATTTGTAAGTATTTCAGGAGTTATTGCTCTACAAGCTCCTCTAATTCTATCCATCATATCCAATGGTGTTGTCGGAGATTCATTAAAAACAACGGTAACCTAGAAGGCCACACGCTTGGTCCAACCCGCCCTATCCATCGATCTGGAAATTGCTGATTTAAGAACGCTCGTACAATACGAGCCTAGTGAGGAGAAATTTGTCGAGGCCATAAATTCATTCTAAATGCAAGTGGAATATTCTCAAGGTAGCCTGGCAAATTTTTCTGGAGAAATTCAAAATACATTGGACCACCAATAGCCCGTTCACAAAAGTGAGGTAACAGTCACTTGACCATTGCATATGCCAACCTATATGTGTAAGTTCCAACGACGTTGATTGAGCACCTCACGATACCAATATGGATTTACTGGTGACTAAAAATGGCTGTTATGCTTATTCAGACTTCCGTTACTGCTGAATGTAGCTTCATCACTGAAACAAACATTTTAAAAGAAATCGAGATTTTCTTCCAACATGTCAAGAGCCCACCTACAAAATTGTACCCCGAGTACATTATCTTCTGGGCCTAATTCCTGTACCAGATTAATGTGAGATGGATAGTATCGTACAGATATTAATAATATATGAGCTGTAGTTCTGGGAATTCCTATTTGCGTTTCAATCTGACGCATATTAACATGTGAATTTAAATATACCAATGCTAGAATTGTAAGTAACCTCGAATCGTTATTATTTTGGAGTCTATTCCTTCGTCTGACGATGCAGCGGATTATTTCGTGATCTGTTTTCTATTTTTATCACTTCTTGATGGAAAAAATGGCGTCGGTTGGGATATCTTTCAGTGCAGGTGAGAGCAGTAAATCTGTAATTCCTATTGCATTCACCTATCATCATGAGAATGTCAACTACATTCATTGGAAGTGTAGTTTGTCACTTTGAAGCATTTTATGAGATAAATTGATTATCAGTAATTTTGTGTCAATAATAATCAATAAAACATACTTATCCTGGAGCTACCTTAAATTGCGGCACCTAACACAAAACTCTTGAATAATTATGCAGGCAATCGGTTGATGTGTCTTGAAGATACTAAAATCATAAAGTTTTCTAATACATAGAGAACTCTGGAATTGAAAAATTGTTTTTCTAAATTATACGCGAGTGAAAGATTTTTTAATTGTTAAAGAAAATGTTATGGATATTGTAAGAAACTCCCACTTGACGGCTATATCTGACGATTTCCTTTTCCACTGCAATCTTTAACTTAGACAGTGGTAACCACGGCTTTCACACTATGGGAATTATAGATTCAATTGTTACTGAGGTACGCAGCTGGTACTGAGGTCAGAGCGAACCAACAAACAGCCCAACGCACGCTTGGGCGATGTATGTAGAAGAAATGACTTATATCACAGTATGCAAGCTCAAAAAACAAAGTTGACCTTGAAATGACCGTGAATGGTCTCCCGGACCCCACGCATAATAGGTTATATGAAGGTAGAATTTCCCGCTCTGTCCGAATCCAGGGTCAAAAATAGAGGTTCCTATTTAAAAAAAACAAAGTTGATCTTGAAATGACCTTGAAAATAAAGTTTAATGTCAAATTTGAGGTCATCCTAAGTTGACCCCCTTTGAACCATACTACTTTTATTTGAAACATTTTTGAATATTTTGTAAAGTTTTGAGTTATCTTATTGTACAAGTTAAAGTCGGATACTTTGTATCTTAGAAAAAACGAAAAGTTATCAAAATAAATTTCTTATAGTTTTCTGTAATAAATTCAATATGTGACTAATCGTAACAGAAAAGTGATTATTCAAGATTATGTTATGTTTCGTGAAAGGATTTTCAAAGATTTTTTCATAAAAAAAATCGTAGTATGCATTATAAATTATTCTTATAAATAAATTATTTGAATGCTGATAGGTTTATTTAGTTTTTGTTTGTTTTTATTTTAGTATTCTATCATGATTCAATGAATTGATTATAATTAACTAGCAAGGACAATATTGCAATCCATTGTACGCACTGTGGTCATGTTACGAGCATTGTTCTATCTTTATGCTCAGCAATCACGAATTTCAATACTATGTGTTTTGAACAATTTCAATACATCTTCTGACATTTATTTACTGTTATAGTTCTTCATCGGCATAAAATTCAAAAAATTTATAAACGCGATTATTCAAATAATACCGAATCATCACCGATAACTAATCGACATGTGATATGTCAGTTAATCCAATATTAGGCCTCAATATTTTTCACGTCTGATTTCTTGTATAATGTGCTGCAATATTTTTTTACCTAGAGCATTTATCAATCGTTCGTAAGTCGGCTTTAATAAATATGAAACATTTCCATGTCCTTTATTCGCATGTTTCGATATGTTGTTTTAAGAATGGATCATATTCAGCAAGTAATTCAATTAGTCCAAGAAAAATACCATT